TTCAGATGGTTCGGTATTTAGAAAAAAGTTTTTTTCTTGGTGTAATAATGTTGAGTAACAAACAAGTTTATGAGAAATTCAAATTCAATTTCTGGAGCGGTCCTTTCGTTTTGTTAAAATATGAATTAAATTATGGCTTTATTATAAACTGAAATTCATAGCGAATAAACTTTGACAGAAAATTAATGATTCAGAAGTAATATAATTTACGGTAACAACGCCTTTTCAATGTGTGAAAAAAATCATGAGCCACCGATATATACCACAGAACGCAAGTGTTACCGGCGCAAAGATGCATTTAGCAATGGTTAAAAAAATTGAAAATGAATCCTGCCATTTAAAAGAAATAATGTGAATAATGTGATACGCATTCGTGCTATAAGAGCTGACTGATAACTGATTTTTGATAACGAACTGTCGCATACAATCTAATAGTGATATAAATAAACGATTGATTCGAAAATTTCTCAATAATAAATACATTTTTGACTCTGGTGAAATGTGGATCTGTATGTAAATAAAATAAATAAATACGACAGAAGCAGGTTGATCGTATTCTAACATACACACGCCAATTGTTTGTAAATAATGCTTTTCCGTTGGGAATTAAAAATTAATCATTAGTTACTGAGATAAATTAAATTTTGATCTCGCTTGAAAGGGATGCTTCCGAGTGAGTGAGAATTTAGAAACTAAATTATACACAGAAATTTAAATTTGCTAGGCTAATGTAAATAATGCAGAACGATGTTGCTGTCCACTTTCTAGAGCTAATCAGGAAATTCGGAGATAACATCGTAGTAGTTTTATCCTACCTGTTTCCTAGCGTTAATTACGCAATTTAGAGATAACAAATTTTTTCAAGGTTTCTCTGGCGGTAATCAGGCAATTCAAAGATAACATGGCAGCAGATTTATTTAAAAGTTCCTGGAGTTAATCGGGCAGTTAAGAATTTCCTCGCTGAGTCTCCATGTATAGGGGAATGTTTCTTTTTCAAAAAATGTATGAAGCTGTAAAAGGGTTGGAATCAGTTCTAAGAAAATTAGCCTAATATTGGAATTAAGACCGCATAATAGTTATATGGCTCGTGTGCTTTATAGACAAATATATTCTCATAAGTAAACAGACCGAACAACGAAGAATAAAATTTACGCTATAAAACTTTTCGAATATGAAAGAAAAGCGTCTTTCGTATGCATTGGGCAGCTCAACTCTAGGCATTTGAGATTATCTTTCAGTGGCAGACTAAAATTTTCTCATTCACGTGAGCACATGTTTCGTGAAGCGTATTGAGGCTCCATAAATCTAATTGTTCTATTAAAAAACCAAAAGTATAACTTAAATAGTCCACGAATAAAACAGAAATAACCGTTCACTAAATTCATTTAATCTCGGCTCTAAGCAATAACTTGTGCCTTCTAGCACATTCGTACCATTTTCACAAAAGTTATCTCCGATAAATAATTAAAGTAATATTCTTTTGAAAATAAGTTGAAACTACATATTGATGTATTGATTTAATATGTAATATTTTCTTTCGGCAATCATAACTTTTCGAAGTTTTAAGGTAATGTGAACGTTTCTCTTAAGAAGTTATGTCTCACTCGGAGTCTCTGCGCGATAATTTTTGCAGAGGCTATAGAAGCGAGGCATCATAATTTTTCCTTCAGTGTGAATAAGGGCTTCGTTTTGCCGAGACTATTGCTTCCTATTTACGCCAATTTCCGCGCACTTTGTCAGCAAGATTAATCCGGTTACGATTTTCGTAGATGCCCGGTTACGATTTTTGTGTTGGTGTTTGGGAGCACGCAGCGGCTGCGATATTGCAGCAGCGTTCATAGAAATACCCTCCCAACGACGGTGTTTGCTGTTGCTGCGAGTGTGACTGCAGCCTTTAAATGTTCCGTTACAGTGAATAGACGTACGGAACTATTGCTGCTCTTCAAGCTTTGATACGCTACAAGGCTAGAACCAGTGAGGATAGTTTTCTTACCAGCAGTAATTTTTAATGATTTTCCTTATTTAGCGAGGCCTGAAGAAGCTGAACTTCAAGATTCTGGTTAGCAGACCTTCATGAACGAAAAGCAATGAAGCATCCGTTCACTGTGGTTTAATCCTGCCAAACTTAGTTAAATTCAAATTTGATCCAACCCCGTGTTACTCACCGTTTTCTCTATCAATACTTCCATCGTGATTTAGTTTAGAACTCTGTGAATTATTGTTAATTAGAATGAAGAATCTATTTCATATCATAACATTACGAGGAAAAGATTCAAATATGCGCTCAATTAAGCGTCTCAAGATCAATAACATTTTAGAAAAAGATCACGTCGACGAAAAATGTTTAAGAGACCCTTCTTCAAATTAAGCAAATGGTAAACTCAAGTAGATTGGATACGACCAGCTGTGCAATTGGTCGGTAAAACAAGGGACGATCTTCCAACGAGACTCGGAAGCGGAGTGCAGGCTCTGCCAGTGTCATGGGCAAGCATCCTCTGGTGAGATAAAATAATAATAACAAGTTGTCTGGGGCAGGATTATTGCCAGTAAAACCTAACATAAACCAGCAAAGCTCTGCTCCAGCGCCTGTAAAAGACGTCATCTTCTTAAGGAACGTCAGCTGCGTGCCTGTAGGTCAATGACGAGAAGAGTACTGAAAAGTTTGTCTTCTTAATTAGGTTTAGGTTAGATTATAGTTTATTAATATTTTTATGTTTCGTTCGCTTGTACTCCTCAGTTTTTCCTCATGTTTCCCCATAATGTTATTCTTTAGCGATGGTTATCTGTAAGAACTCTGTTACTGACGCCGAGCACTCTGAGATGCATGGGATCTGACATTTATTGATCAGCCGTTCACACTCTGCAGTACAGAGCTCTGGCGTTACCTGGTCAGCCGCTCACACTCTGGAGTACAGAGCTCTGGCGTTTCCTGGTCAGCCGTTCACACTCTGGAGTACAGAGCTCTGGCGTTACCTGGTCAGCCGTTCACACTCTGCAGTACAGAGCTCTGGCGTTACCTGGTCAGTCGTTCACACTCTGGAGTACAGAGCTCTGGCGTTACTTGGTCAGCCGTTCACACTCTGGAGTACAGAGCTCTGGCGTTACCTGGTCAGTCGTTCACACTCTGCAGTACAGAGCTCTGGCGTTACCTGGTCAGTCGTTCACACTCTGGAGTACAGAGCTCTGGCGTTACCTGGTCAGCCGCTCACACTCTGGAGTACAGAGCTCTGGCGTTGCCTGGTCAGCCGTTCACACTCTGGAGTACAGAGCTCTGGCGTTACCTGGTCAGTCGTTCACACTCTGGAGTACAGAGCTCTGGCGTTACCTGGTCAGCCGTTCACACTCTGCAGTACAGAGCTCTGGCGTTACCTGGTCAGCCGTTCACACTCTGGAGTAAAGAGCTCTGGCGTTACCTGGTCAGCCGTTCACACACTGGAGTACAGAGCTCTGGCGTTACCTGGTCAGCCGTTCACACACTGGAGTACAGAGCTCTGACGTGGTTATGTCAGTCGTACAGCACCGAAGACTTCTAGTGGCAGATATACTCGTGCGCTTTCCTATCTCCAGTCAAACGTACCCAATTTATTGCTCGACTGAATTTGAACTCGATGAAGCAAATATCGAAGTTAATAAAAACGTGAATTTTATCATTCATAGAATATGGATGCCCAGTTGATTTGGCGATATTAATAATTAATTGATTAAACTTGTTTCAGCAACATTCAATTACTTGTTGCATAATGTTCTCTATATGGGAATACATTGCAGCAACATTCAAGTACATGTTTAATAATGTTCTTTATTTGGGATTATTTTGAAGCAACAGTCAATTACTTGTTCAATAATGTTCTTTATTTTGGAAAATATTGAAGCAACATTCAATTACTTGTTGAATAATGTTCTTTACTTGGGATTATATTTGAATATTGCATATTCATGGCTGGACGGATGACACGTGAGCTTTATTGTACACCCGTATGGCACTGCTCTGTCAGGGCAGTGAGCAAGCCTAACTCAATTGCAGTCTCTGGACGTAGTTTGCATCGTCTTTGCAAGTGATGAATGCTACGAATCAGTGAATGGCACCGACATGGCAATGATTCACGGCATTCACTATGACCGCCACGATATTGTCGTGGGTATCAAGTATCGCCTATATCTTGTTAAAGCATTCACTTGTGAATGCAACTCATCTAAAAGAGCTTAAAATTAAATTCATCGCTGCAACCATATTCTTTTTATATGACTAAATTGTATAATTCCTGAATTTTGGCCGCTTCTTATGTTGGTAATTAGTGGACGTACCTTCGACTGGGTTCAATATATCTGTCGCAAGCAGGTCTGAAGTTGGTATGTCAAACGAAGTTCAAATGCAGAAATGTTGCAAGCTGTCGATTATAGCTTGCATAGGAGGTTCACCAATGGAACTTAGTTATCTAAAAGCCTCAACAGACTCGACATTAGTTTTTTATCACTGAATATGTTGAAACATGCACAGTAATTAGTAATTCATACAATCTCAATTGATTTAGATTAACAAATATATATATGTTAGTGCACATGTAAAAGGTCGAAAGTCTTATGTCTTCGGCGATGTGCAGTCATTAGTATTGTTCCCGTATGCGTAGAAATTTCACTTTCACTTGGACTAGTCTGATACTACCGCATTGGACTAGTCTTCAGGGGCTCCCGTAAATCTCAAGCAAAAAAAAAATCGCTTGAGACTATACACATATGCAGTATATCTAATTATTAATATGCTGACAAAATCGCCACCCTCCTGCTGCTAATAGATTCCGCATCAGCGTTACTATTGCAAAAATATGCTTATACATCTTAATTGTAGAAATATTTAATTCAAGTTGATTCCCATTTATGAAGTCCACTAAATAAACGTGTTAACAGCGGAAAATCGTTCAATATATTCAGTTACTTTTTGGTAAGTTATGTTTTTAATTTCCTTAGACCAAGTACAGAATTCTATTTATTATTAATAAGGAATGTTCAGTGACACCGGTCACGTGACATCTGCTTCCGACCTTTTCTACAAGAAGTTTGCCGCAGAGCAAAATGTGCCGTCGTTGGTAAATAAATCGGTTGTGTCCTGCGAGGCGATTGGTACAGTTATTGCTCTGGCCTCAGCAGTGGCAGTTATTAATTACTGTTCCTAATTGGGCCTTAGTTTCGCAGTTTCTCCCTGAATTGGTTTGAAGTTCTCGTCACCTTATGTAACTCTTTTGAATTAAACAGTGTTAAGTGTTCACTTTAATGTGCCTGAATATGTGTGAAATACGAAGTTTTAAACCACCGCTGGTGAACAGAAAAAGTGTAAATCACTTCAAGTGGCCGATTTAATAAGTTAATGCTAACGTTCCGCTTTAGGTGGCCATCATAAACTATAAGGACGTGAACATCCGGGAACAAACAGAGCTCACATATCCTGCGCTCATATATCCTGCGCTCGTATATCCTGCGCTCGTATATCCTGCGCTCACACATCCTGCGCTTACACATCCTGCGCTCACACATCCTGCGCTCACACATCCTGCGCTCACACATCCTGCGCTCACACATCCTGCGCTCGCACATCCTGCGCTCGCACATCCTGCTTTCACATATCCTGCGCTCACATATCCTGCGCTCACATATCCTGCGCTCACACATCCTGCGCTCACATATCCTGCGCTCACATAAGCGCAGGATATGTGAGCGCACTCTGGCGCTCAAAATCGCCAGAGTCGATGGTAGGATATTTTTTCCTCAAGTTTGTTCATGGAAGTGTGATTTTTTTAAAACTTCAGCCACATATTACTGAAAAAAATACGTTAAAGTTTAATGATTTTTTAATGATTCCTGCTAACTTTGTATGAGTAGTAGATATGGAAAAGCTATAAGTCAATTTTAGACCTGTTTTTTTTTCTTTATTTCTGTGCTATTTCTCCACACAATTGAAAGGAATTTGATAAAATATTTCGTAGTACCTATTTTTAATTGACGTTTTTTATAGTTTAGCTAGCGATTAAATTCTTCAAAGAAAGATTTTATTAAAGACAGTTAGTTGAAATATTCATTCAAGGCTCTCTTTCTTCAGCTGAGGGGAAACTAATAAAAATAAAACGGGACGTCCGACGGTAGCTGTGCAGTGTGTTGGTTTAGAGGTTACGTTATCTGAGAAATGTTTGCAGTGGGTGGCGCAATCGTGACGTAAAATATTATAGGGAGACGTAATCGTGATATACAATTTTGTAGGGTGACGTAAAATATTCTAGGGTGATGTAATAGTGACGTAAAATATTGTAGGGTGACGTAAAATATTCTAGGGTGATGTAATAGTGACGAACGTTTACATAATCGTGACGCAGAATATACAATAAGTCAGCAAAACCACAAATGAGCAAAAAAATGATACAACGAATTAAATAAATTAATTCTATTGAAAAGGGGACGTGGAAAACATCCTCTTCTAGCATGAGATTTCTAACAACAAATGAATTTGGAATGATGAACTTAATCTGCATAAAACGATTTGTCAGAAATATACGTAATGAAGAACAAGCGGAAATCAATTTGAGAGCAAGAGCATCGAACGGGAAAAATTGGACATGAAAGGTCTGAGGTTCATGCTGCTTCTCAATAAAGGATAAAAAATCTTGATTTGATTTATTGATAATATTAATACGCTCGGTGCAGTATAACTGCAGCAATATTGAACGTAAAAAATACACATTTAATATGTCTGAATACATCACTGAGAGAAGTGGGAGGGTGATAGTCTATTAACTAATCGCTTTTTACATTGCGTGGTTCACCCTAATCCAGTTTGACCTGGTTGCAGGGTGTATCAGTGCAACGTCTGCTCACTATTCGTGCTGAGAGTAAGAAAGTGTGTAAATATTTGAACAAAGACCCATTCCTTTTTCCGGGTGTTGCTTCGAGCCGATTTTGGTACGTAATAGATTCGTTGTGATTTAGCCCTCGCGTTATTAAGGTCGTGCCGGCAATATTGGTCGCAAAAAACATGAACATATTTTGATAAGACTCTTTACACGAGCCACGATTATTATTTAGGAAATTAGAAATGATTCCCGAGTAAGAGGTTGCAAAAGAAAAATTCAGTATTAAATTATGTCATACTTGATACTTGTGTGATCGCAAGGGAGCTGCCGATGTTCTGTTGTGTATACTAAACAATGTATAGCTGATATAATAATAATGTAATGTATATTATTTGATGGATTCAAGTATCGTAAATGAACGACTCGATATATCTAAATTAATTAAATAAAAATTGATTTAGGAAGATATTTAATTTCTCACAATTTGTTGGGAATATTGCAGTTCGATTAAGTTAGAGGAAAAGAATGGGCTTGCTGAGGGTTTTTAATGGGTTGGCATTTTCCATATTTATCAGGATATGATTAGTTACACAAAGTCGGCAGTTTTTTTTGTATTAATAAAATTTTGTAGACTGGTAGTGTTTCGAGGTTAAGGCATAATATATTTTTATTGCCTTTTAATGAAATAAAGATTTCGTTTTGAAATTTTAAATCGATGACTGTTGCCTTGATGATGACTTGAAATGCCTAGCACCATATCGAACCGGTGGAAGACACGATTTTAGATCTTCTATGAACAAGTCATGAAAAGTACAAGAATCGGCGACAGGCCACATCAGGCCTACTCTTCAGCGCCGACATCACTACGCTATGTTATGTTATTCATTTTCTCTAACACAGTTGTTTAACTACGGAGAATCCATGTTTTTACAATTTCTAACTACCAACTATTTTATTATTATGTGAATAGATAGTATTCGATGCCGCTATTCAGTCTGGTGCCCAATTTGACATTTTTTGTATAATCCCCAGAAGAATTTGTGTCGTATGTTAGACATCGCAGAATTGTGATTCTTATTTTTTAAATAATCCGTAAGTTACCCCGTAATACTAAGAAAAAAAATCCCTCTTACATTATTCCGCATGCCGCATAAAGAGCACAACATTATTCACGCATACCGTATATAGAGCACAACATTATTCACGCATACCGCATAGATAGCACAACATTATTCACGCATACCGTATATAGAGCACAACATTATTCAAGCATACCGTATATAGAGCTCAACATTATTCACGCATACCGTATATAGAGCACAACATTATTCACGCATACCGTATATAGAGCACAACATTATTCACGCATACCGTATATAGAGCACAACATTATTCAAGCATACCGTATATAGAGCACAACATTATTCTCGCATACCGTATATCGAGAAAAACAATATTCGCGCATACCGTATATAGAACACAACATTATTCACGCATACCGTATATATATAGCACATATATGGCACAAGCCCTCTATATTAGACAAGGGACTGCGCTGCAATGATATCTCACGTTCACTGCAGCCTCGGCAGTAAATGGCTTTGTTGGCAGTAAATATTATAATGGCGGCCATGAGGGGCAGCCTTGTCTCTGTGATGCACGCAGCCTCTCATATACATAAATTATTATATAAATGATGTTTCCAAGCATGTATTGGTTATTGGCAATAAGTATCTAATAAACTGTTACAAAAGTGCTCGTCAATAGATTTTTTATTTGAAGTCTTGTAAGGAAAGAGGAGATTTTGTTTTATAGAGGCTAAGCATAATTTTCTTTGAGAGTAGGCAACGCCGTTAAGTTCGCAAAATATTATTCAAATTATTTCGGTAAAGGAAACGTTATGTTTCATGCAAATTCAATGAGATTTTATTGGCTTTTACCGGCTTTTAGCGCTTAAGTAACACCAATTTTGAATCACAAAGGTTTTTTAGACCATGAGCTCTAGACCACGAACATTTAACCTCAGTTTTTAGACTAAGAACTCTATATTACGATCACTAGACCATGGGATCTAGACCAGTACTACTTATCATGTGATTATTAAATGGCGCGCGGCTTCAAACCTTGAGCCCTAGATTTATTGCCTTTACTATATAACCCAAGCGCAGAGCTTTTACTTGAAATAAACTTTCAGTAAAGTGTGGCTTTGAAAATGGCCGTCGCAAGGGAACGGCTGCTCTGTGGAAAGCTGATTCACGACAGGAAATTCTAGGCGTAATTTTCCTAGAGCTTAATTTTGCGCGTTTGTGTCAACAATTAGAGCGCGGAAATGGAGGAGAACCAAGCAGGAGTTTGCTTGTCCTGATTCCGTGCGATATAACTTTGATGAACATGTTCGTTAACTCCTCTAGCTATAGGATATAATTAAAACTATTTTAGCTCGTGCATAAAAATTCCTTTGAAAAATAAAATTTAATTAGTTAAAACTTTGATAATTTACTGAATTAATTATAAAATGGATTCCCTGAAGTCGCTAATGAATAAATTTAATTTACAATAATTTTAGGTTGATAATAATGAATAAGTTATTCGGACGGACAATTGCGCTAAATACAATTGAAAATATAATGCTTTCATCTTGTAGAATAATATTTAATAAAACACTTTGAGGTAATAAACTCCAGAATCGCTAATGGCAAACGCTAAATCCTTCATTACGGCTTCACTGCGAAAAGTGGTAAGTGTAAAAAATAATCTGTTGGTACATAATAAAGCAAACGCTTTGAGCATGATAACTAACACGTCAACACTAACACGTAATGCAAGGAGAAATGAATATTTTATTATAGAAGGTGGATTTATCACAAAGCAATTCTGACGACTTCTTGCACACACTTAGATGTTCACCACCAAATTGCCAGAGATCAGCGAGGCAGACGTTCAATCTGAGACAAAGATTGCATGTCGTGGCGAGGCGTACAATAACTTCTACAGATCTTGACGTCACTGCGCTTACATCGCTTTGGTTACTGCGTAATGTTACCTCTATATTAATGTATTGCCTTTCTTCTATAATGGTAGAGAGAGGACTCAGTATATTTTGTTTGTATCAAATATCTAAGTTTTTAATTTGCCAGATCGCTTTTCATTGATTGGACGATTAGCAAATTTATTTCAAGTTGAAGAGATTTTTATGCCCCATTGAAAAGTTTAAGACGAGCTAGAAAGGGCAAACATCTTTTGAATTCAAATTAAAGGTTATTTATGCGATGGAAGTTACAGGATCAAAAATTAATGATGAAATTTAAAAATTTAAACGAAATGAAATTTTCCACGGATATCTTAATTCTTAGGCTTATCTAATTGAAATTTCAATTAGATTTGCATGTAATTGAGCACAATTTTAGGACTCTTGCGTGACACATTATGGTACTAATTAACATTTTACCTGAGTTCGCTCCTTTGAGCTGTAAAATTTGGCAATGTGCAATAATGCAAATGTGTAAATAGGATAGATAGTTTCCATCCGTTTTAAACTATGGTTCTATGTGAGAAATTTACTGTCAGGCCGAGAAAATTTGATATATTGTTTACTGAATTATCTTTGTTCTTGTCATCAAATTATTTGATCACTTCACTGCACCTAAATCGCAATTTGTGAAAAAATAGTATGGAAAATACTGAGTAAAATGCATTGAAGAGAAATCAATGAAAAAAGTCAATTTCTAGAATATTTTTTGGCCATATTTTGGCCATATTTTTTTACAAAAACTCGAGCAACAGTTCTGAATTACAACAATTTTTCCATTTACTTAAAGTTCATAGCTTTTATGTGCCAAAATTAACAAGTTACATGTT